GAGCGTCTGTACGCGCCGAACAGATTTGCATGCAAATTTATATCGCGGTTGTTTCGTATTTTCATTATTAGTTCGCATAAGATTTTTCTATGGTAATTTTTTATGGTCTTGCAAGTTGCAAAGAGTATTTAATATTCTGTTGTGCTTTTATATGAAATGTTAATTAGATTTTGAGTGAATTTCATAAAATGTAGACATTCTAAATAAATTATTAACAAAAATTAATAATTCTTAAATCATAAACTAACGCTTATTATACACGTGCAATTGTAAGCAACTGACCTTATCGTGTGTCACTTTTTGCTCCTGCGACCTTAGAGTTTCAAGATTCTGAAGCTTGCGGATGTCCGGAGTTTTGTCCTTTGGCGTTTCCGCTTTAGCGGCGTTGTTCATTCTCTATGAAATAAAAATAATACGCAACGTGTGACAATGATGAATGACCAGCAATAAGGGAAATGCGAATAATCAATCACGAGAATGAAAGTAATTGAAAGTAATAAATATAACGTGATACTTTATAAAATGTAATTTGAGTCCTAAACATTTCTACGAGAACATATCTATAGTAGAAAATTTTTCAAAAAACGTAGTTTTGAGAAAATAAAAATAGAAGATAATCTAAGTATCAAGTGGCATACACGAGCAAAAGATTAAATTTTTTACGGCATGTTATATATCAGTAAAGCACTTTAACTCATTGATAATGTTCATTATTTTTTATCGCGATAAACATGAAGAGAAATAATATAAAAGATATCATATAAGCAGATCACATAAGCAGATCGAGCACCGATATCAGTGCAAAACAACAATGAAGATTAAAAAATTATGGACGCATTCAAAAAAAAGGAAAGATATGGACCATCGTTGATATGACAGATACGATAATATACTCACACACGACGTTTGTTCATTTATTTTTCGCAGACTTATCATAAAATAAAAAAAATAAAAAAAAAATATTGAGAATACTTTTTCTTAATATCGTAGATCTATCTACCTGCTGTGCTCGCCTCTGTAACTCCTGTGTGATGGCAGTGCTCAAATCAGTGCTGGCGATTGGCGATGTCCTGGCGACATCCTTGCGTGGCGTCGTTCTGTTGTTTTGCTGGTGATGCTGCTGGACCCACCGCCGGTCGCCGATCCGTAAGAAACGGTTGATGCCGGTTCACAGGACGACGTCGATAGCGACGACGATGTCGACGCGGAGTCTTTGCTGCAGGACGACTCGAGGCTCGATTCAGTTTCTGTCGAGCCGGTGCTGCCCATCGACATGGTACTGCCCATTTGCATTCCCATAGCGTTCATCGGTTTCGTCTCTATAACGGTAGATAATATAATAACGGTGATTGTGTGTGTGTGTGTGTTGTATACAAAACATTAGAAAAATAGATTTTACTTCAAAATTGAAAACAAAAAAGAATTTTACGTGTATATTAAATTATATATACATGCAACTGCATTTATTAATAAAAAAATGATGTAAAAAATATTTTAAAATAATCTTAAAAGACGAAAATATTTATATTTATTTATATAAAGTAATGGCGTGTAGAAATATCTTTCAAGGTCTACGTCTCTGAACATAGGATCAATATAGCAATGTTAAAGAATGCTCTTCAAGCTGGCGGTCGAGCGAATGCCGCGGCCAGTTATTATTCTAACGATGCTGCGGGAGAAGTCGTCAAACCTGCTGGCCATTTGTAAGGAAGCGGCGGCGGAGGTGCAGGTGGACAAACTGACTGATGCACCTCCACAGTCGTTATCGTCTTCCTCTCGGCCTCGCTCTGTCTCTGCACGAGTTGCAGATCCGTCAATCGATTACCAACCGCTTGGCCGTTCTCCTGGCGCAAAAATTATATTTACTATGCAGGTTTCTCATTTAAATCGACCAATCGCGTTTAACGAGCCAATATAAAAAATGGTTCGATAACGAAAACAGAAGTGCAAATTGACGGATGTGCAAATTTTCTTACTTTGGAGCCATGGTACATAGGCAAGTCGTCAGCGGGTCCGTCATAAATCACGTCCTGCTGTTGCCTCGCGTTATCCCGCCGATAGGCCAGCCGCCGATTGGCTTCGTCTCGCGGATTCGCGTCGAAGTCGTGCACCTCGTAGTCGATCCTGGGCGCGACGGGATCGTAAAGCGGCTCGTTGTCGATGTCGTCCTCGTAATTGCCGCGCGAATTAAAGTGATATTGCCCGCCCGGCATAGGCCGATGGTTCTGGTTCGAGCTCTGATTAACACGAATCACGGTCGTGTTATTTGGTTTTCGCGACCATTCCGGCGCCTAGAAAGTGGTCAATTTAGATTCCAATGAAAGGACTTTTGCATGCTTTTTTATCTCATATTTTAACAATGAAATAAATTTCGAACTTTCGAGCTCTGTGATGCGTGGAACAAAATTTAATTTACACTCATTTTTTCTTAATTAAGCTGTGTAATAGATGATTTTTATGAAATTGGTTTTACTAACTGGTTCTATTGGTTCTAATTATGTATAAAATAAGATATTTTAAACCCCTTTATATATACCTGATCCACGTGTGCCCACTCCGAGGAGGAACTGCAGCTACTGGTCGACAGGGCGAGAGGACAGCATATCCTACGACGAAATCCGGAAATGAAGCGGGATTTACATACATGTATGTGTCTTCCGTGCTGACGATTACGCAAATTATGAGTCCGATTTCTAAAGAGCGGAATTCGCGGATGCGCATTTTTACGTGGCAAATATTCCGGCGAATTGGACGAATGCTTACGTGGCGGCAAGGAATTCAAGCCGTGACCGACTCTGCGATCGTTATCGAGTGTCCTATTAATGGACCGACTTTCTCCTAGTGTAAATTCATTGATGGCATCCGATAACGGTCACGAGCGGCAAGATACGTAAATATCTATCTAGGTAGCGAAAGTATCGTGGCTACGATTTGCGCGACGAGAAAAGATAAACGATAAACGAATAAAGAAATAAGAGAATAACATTTCTGAAAAATTTACGGTATATATATCCTGTTGATCTTGTCATGCATAATATCGTTTTACAACTTGTTTGAAATTACTTGAATTAATTAATTGAAGACTGCTAATTCTACTTGATTAATTTTTTTGCACGGGATGAAACATTGAATTGTCACTCACCTGCCGTTTCGATTGCAGGCGTCGTCGCGCGGATACCGCTGATGCATCCTGCCGTCATGATGGTGATGCTGCGGTGAGGACGGCGCGTTGTTCGGATGCTGAGACGGCGGGCTCGCGGCCACAACGCTAGACGTTTCGGAGTCATAGCCGCTGGAGCCGCGCGTCCACAGCGGCTCGGGACAGTCGTAAAGGTGATTGGGGACCGCGGGTCGTTGCACCACAAGGTCGAGGATCGCCGAACTGCGCATCATCTCGATAGCCCGCTCGAATGGCAGATCGGTGAGTCGTTGCCCGTTACACCAGATTATCACGTCGCCAGCCTTCAGACCCGCCGCTCGCGCGGGACCCCCTTCCCTCGTGCCCTAAACGTTCATGTTTTTTTTTTTTGTTTTTAGATGAATTCAATTCTTCCCAGAGCCGCGCTTATTATGCAAGTTTGGTTTCGAAATATAAAGGTCAGATTCCAAATATAAAGGTTTGAATACGAATCTTGTTTTATTCAATTAGCCAGGTAATATTATGCTATTCTATTCGAGTTTATTTTGATCTCAATATATTATTTTTTTATTTAAAATTTTCATTAATTAAAGTGGCAATAATGTACAGTCGGTTATTTGAACTTGAAATGGCAAGATAGGATGTCTCGTTAGAATTTCGATCTTAATGAAAGCAGAATAAATTTTGCAATAATTAAGCAAAAATCTCAAGAATGCCAGTTGCTTCCATATGACATAATTACATTCAATTAAAATGTTATTAACCTGGACGGTGAGACCAGGTACGATGCCCCTGCAAACGCCGCAACCCAGACGACCCTTCTCGCCGACGAGAATCCGAATTCTGACTTCTGCATTCGGCACGTTACCTAAACCAGTTTCGTTGTATTGGAGCTGCTGTTGCTGTTGCTGCACCATGTGCCAGGTAACCGGATCGTTCGGATTGCTTTACGAATCATAAATGATTTTTGTAACGAGAGGATGCCGATCGAGTGAGACATGTAATATGGTTCGCGCAAGGTTTTAATTAAGTTTTGATACTTACTCCTTTACGGGTATCATCCCCACGCCTGCAATATAAATCAAGAGCTATAAATTTCCGTTATCAGCAACGAGATAGAAATTATTTCACGAAGGCCGCGCGCGCGTATTACTATATTATTAATTATTTTTCTTTTATATCGCGAAGAGCTATCGAGAGCTATCTCTACGTAGAATAGATTTACGTCCGTAAGTGCAATATTGTACTTCACGACGTAGATAATTAAGATAGAGACGAGATAGTTACTTCGAATTTTAAGAACCAGGACTTGCTGATTCTTTGCCAGGAGCGCGACTTCCTGATGAACAGCATCCTCCACCGGGTAACCGTTCACCCTTAAAATTTGATCGCCTACCTGAAAGCGATAAACCGAAAATGGAACCGTTTAATTAACCAATACTTTCACGATTCCAATGTTAATTAATGTTATAGTCGCATGATTATCATTAAATCTATTTTTGACTAATGCATCTTGAAAAAGACCATAGATGAAGCGCAGAAGATGTTAAAAGACATTTAAATAATTTTAATATGTAGTTGTTGAGATAACAGCGTATGAACAGTAATTATGAAAATACCCTCAATCCATTTCTATGAGCCTCGCCACCTGGTTGGACATCACTGACGTAAAATCCGGCAGCGTATTCGCGTCCACCACGTAACGAGAATCCAAAGCCGGCGTTACCCCGACGTCTCAAACGTACGTTCCTAGTCACGCCAATGACGGCCATCCTGCCGCCTCCTGCCGGGTTCCCAGGACCTCCACCGGTCGATGATCCCGTGCCAGCATTTGACGCGCTGGAGGAGCCACCCGACCTGCCGGTATCGTAAAAGGGACATGTACATAAATAACGTCATTCTGCACTCTGAAGCTGAGCAGAAAAAGCCAACGAGAATTTTATCTCTCTGCTCAAGACCCTTTAATTAAATTCAAAATGTACGCCCGATAAAAATTTCAAAGCTACATTAAAATAATATCTTTCCTTTAATTTCATTCCAACTTGCTATATTTTTCAGAGATGTTCGGATATTTTTCGTTCCATGAATTTTATATGAAATATTTTATTCAAATATCACTCTCTCTCTCTCTTTTTCTCGTCTGTGCTCATCTCGATGCTGTATATTTTCTCGTCTCTCGTCTCGGCGCGGCTATATCTGTCCGTGTCGCTGTGATATCGTCGCGGTCTTATTTTACCTCCGCGAGTAATTGTCTCGCAAAGATCCTCATTTTCCCCCCTCGCTTCGACGGGCGAATGAGCGAGCGAGCGAGCGACTCGGTACCTTTGTTCGTTGTATTCCGCCGACCTTTTTCCATCGCGCTGTAAAATTAATGACCACACCTGGCGCACCGCGCACCGGCACGAGGAAGGAAGGCGAGCCGGCGAGAGGAAGCGGAGATAGTGGCAATCGAGAAACTTCTCGGCGAGATGGAGAAATCTCGCTGAGGAATTCCACGCAGTCTCGAAGGAGAAAGAGGAAGACGGACCGAGAATGACTCGAAGGTGAAGCTGAGAAGCAAGGGGACACTTGGTTAATGATGCCGAGAATCCATCTTCCGTCGGACATTGAAAAGACCGTTGTGTACAACACAACGTGGAACGATAAAGTGGATGCTGTAGAACACGGAGATAACACTAGGGAAATGACAGTCATTAGCGAGCGAGAATATGCTCCAGAATGACTTTGCCTTGCTGTAGCCTTGCGAGGATCTTCCCTTCTTCACACCTCATGTCTTGACACACCCCCTATATATATACCGTTTATTCTCCGAGATAATACTTGAAGAAGAATGGAACTTCACTTTGTACGCGTCTTCTTCAATGAAAGATGAATTTTCGGCGTGAACTCCGAGAGTGAACCCGTGAGAACTTTCGAGGAAATCGGGCAGATTACGTTTGGTCGTGGGATAATAACTATTTTATTCCTCGGCCACTGACATCAGTATTCTCGGAATGCGCATATTCAGTAATTACATAATAATAGCGTGGGATAACGCGATTATTTTAACGCGCTTAATCGCGTCGTTTTTTATATAATGGGATTTGGCGCCGCTTGGCGACGACGACGGAACAGCTGTGCGCAAAAGTCAAATTGCCACGTCGTGTCTCCAGAAGATCTATTATGCAATCGCCCACAGAAAGAGAAAAGAGAAGAGGACAATGGATGCACGTGGTAGCGTTTCCGCGACAACGAGCGCGTCCGTACGGAAAGACGTACCGTTACGGTTGTCGATATCACTGTTTGACGATCGAGTCCCGAAAGTGTTACGACTAACAATAAGGCAAACGTCTCTCGTATATATTTTTCTTCAGCCAGATCTGCCTTTGAGCGAGTGACCCGCCCGTGTCACGACCGATCGCGATCGTCGTGCGCGTCACATGCACGTATTAATCCGGCATTCCGTTCACGAATTATGTTAATTCCTATTTGCCCCAAGACTACAACGTGTGAAGGAGTTAACGGGAGGAATTTCAACGATAAAATAGTAGGACGTAATACAGAAGTTTTGAAGGAATTATTCTTACAATTAGTTAAACAAAAAATGAAAGTATCTAATTTAATAAAAAAATTGATCGAGGAATTGTCCAAAATAAAAATTTTGTTGATAATTTCTTTGCTATTGTTCCCGGATATAAATTACGATGCTCCGAAGGAGCATCCTCATATTCGATATTCGAATTCTGATCATGTATATGTAAACGCAATAATAACAGGACACGTGTGAATCATTGAATTATGAATTCCGTTCACGCCTTATGTTAATTATATCGAGACGAGTTCGGGTCGATTCGAGAAAGCCAGCAATAAGTATATTCGAGAAATGCATTTTACATGCTCGTATGAATATGAGAAATGCGTGTTTTGTATGCTATTATCAGTTACGAAATAATTATTAAGCTATTCTTAACCGTTATCTCATAATTACTCTGTTTTTCTTATCTTTCACCTAAGTTCGTGCGCAATTTAATTATTATTATTATTTGTATATACATTATGATAATAGCGTAAGTCACGAAGGATGCGAGGAACGTCCAGCTCGCCGACAATGCGGAGAAAGTTGATGTAAGCTTGCAAAGAACACGGAAAGGCACGCCCTAACTAACGTTCTCGTCCTTTCGACTCTCATGCCTGTTTCTTTGATTTGTCGTTCATGGCTCGTTGTACTGCACAAGTGAGAGATAAAGATCTTTTTAATATGTTTATTTTCTCCAAAAAACGTAATTAAAAGAAAGAAAAATTGTATTTTTTGCGGTCAAGGATCTTGTTCACATTTAATGAGTTTGAGTTCAAAGACTATAAAAAAATCTCTATATATTATATTTTAATATACTTTTAATTAAATATGCACTTTTTTTATTTATTTTGTTAACATATATTTCAAAAAATGGAAAATTTAATAATTATAAAATTTTGAAAAAAATTAATAAGGTTTTCACGGATTTTTTACTTTAGAACAGGTAGCAAGCAGTCGAACCAGAAGTTGACAAATTGTTACCAGACGCGTTTAAGGTACCGCCGGCAATTCGCTTCTCGGTCTCCCGCAACCCGCAACCATATCAGCCTCCTCTTATGGTTAATCTCTCCACGAACAGATTATTATTATATATATATAGCACGGTGAGATATATCTTTTTTTTTTTTTGTAACGGAATTGACAATAAGTTATTCAGAAATGTTACGAGTAGTTTCTCTTCAAAACTTGTTACTTTTCAAAAGTATTCTCTTCGACCAGTTTTATGAATGAAAAAAACCAGTTTTAAAACGAGTTCGAGTTGCGTAATATGACAAATATAACAGTCAAAAGACTGTTCTATATCCCTTTCGGAGCGTTATTAAACCTACTCTAAATCAAAAAAAAAAAAAAAAAAAAAAAAAAAAAAAAACTATTTGCACAAGCATACTTAATTCGTAATATGTGAATGTGTGTGTAAAAACCCAATGTTATAATAAAAATAAAAATATTATATACAGAGATATATATAGAAAGTCTATTTCTAAAATAAAAAAAATATATTGATTTGTCATTATATTTATTTTCTTGAATCACTGCATGCATATATTTGATTTTATTTCACACATTTCCAAGTTTTAGAATAATATTAAGTGCTGATTCTCTTCTAGAGCTGTTCCAGTTGGCTTAGATTATTATGAAAGCCACGCTTCGATGCATTGCAACTGGAGCAACTATAACCCTGATTGGAAGCGGAGCACGTGTGTTATGTACAAGTTAAAAATTATATGTTCAAATATAAGACCTTTTCTCTACTGTCTGAGTTACAGAATATCGTTCCAGTTTCACGGTATCGATTTTACGAAATTTATACCTACACGTCATTCATCCACTATACAGTGCTTCAAATAACGCGATGAAACGTAATATTGTATGATCATTGTAATCATTTCGTGATAATGCAAATTTCGCGTATCGCATATTACAATAGCAGTATCGACACTCTGCATCGCCATTTCCCAGTAAAATTCATTTTCGTCACGGCCGAATTGCTGGCTTAACTGTGTATGGTCGGTGTCTGGAATGGCGTAAAGCCGCCCAGGGTAAGAAAGAAATACGGAAGAACTCGGGCGTGTTTCGCGTTTCTTCCCTTCACGCGCGACCGGCTACGTTCCATTCGATCCGGGGAATTCGCGTCTTTGATCTCGATCAATTTACTTGCGCGCTCTGGTCGTTGATCCATGAGGGTTTTGCGGCTTCCGATCATCGACCCACGAGGGTCACGAATTCGTATGATGTCATATACCGTGCGACCGTAGAAATGGGATCTAGCCGAGACAAAAAAAGGTAACAACCCTTTATCTAT